TCTCTTTTCCTTTCACAGGGAAATCAATTGTACGAGGACCCAAAATAAGTGATTATTTTGATGTAAGTTTTCAGTTTTGTGGTGAGCGAGTAATATGTGCTATATTCAGTCTTTCCACCACTGAGGTGTTTCCTGTCTCTAAAATGACAGTACTGTGATTTAAAAAAAGAGCCACAGTGGGTCTGCTGTTATCAAATGTTTGGCTGTGATGTGACCTTTTGATCTCCTAACCTTTTTAGTTCCAGGGAGGAAACGGGTCCAGTCCTGTGCGAGGTCTCCCACCAGTGATCCGATCGCCCCAGAACTCACATTCCCACTCGGCTCAGGGTATCGCTGTATGTAACGCCTACACTTGAACTCAAAATCTCTTTGCTGCTCCTTTTTGGTGTTGCCCTGTCTGAAAAGAAGGACTCGCTCTTCTGTTGCAGGTTGTACAAAATAGCTCACCTCCTACTAGTCTGTCTTTTGGGGACCACATGACACATCCAAAGCAACTAGCAGTCAAATTTGTTCAGGTGAGGGGAGGAGGGGGTGATTGTGAATAGTCGGGACACAACCAGCTCTTTGTAATCGCTCTTCAATGTTTCTTTTCTGGGCATCTTTTTAAACGACTTCTCTCATCGTGTTCCACTCTAGACTGACCTCACGGGGTTGAAGTTGGCCGCCCTCGAAAGCACTAAGAATCTGGACCTGGAGAAGAAGGAGGGGAGGATAGATGATCTGCTGCGGGTAAGGAGGAAGTCCTACTCTGTTACTACTGCGCTGTGATGTTACTTCAATGCAAAACAAATTGCACCATGTTTGCCGAAGTAATGTTTGGTAATAGAACAGACATTAATGTGTTTTAATTCTCATAAATATGTTTAATATTTTAAATAATTGGTGGGTTTTTTTTCTTGCATCGTAGGCAAACTGCGATCTCAGGAGACAGATAGACGAACAACAAAAATTACTTGAAAAGCACAAGGAACGCTTGAATAAATGCATCACTATGAGCAAGAAGTTGCTCATAGAAAAGGTAAATGTCTTGTTTTTCTTAACCCTTTATGAACACTCAACATACCTTTATATGTCTGTTATATATACCGTGTTATTGTTCCTCAGAGCACCCAGGAGAAGCAGGCCTGTCGGGAGAAAAGCATGCAAGATAGACTTCGTTTAGGCCATTTCACTACAGTGAGACATGGAGCGTCATTCACAGAACAGTGGACCGACGGCTACGCCTTCCAAAACCTTGTGAAGTAAGAAGCTTTACTACTGACACTGTCTGTGTCTTATTGATCATGTTATTGTCTAGCTGCTGTTAGACTTATTTTCTTGAAAAACCAGCTCTTTTTCATAATATACTCTAACAAAAAGCACCGCTTTCCATCTGCAGACAGCAAGAGTGTTCAAACCAACAGAGAGAGGACATCGAGAGGCAGAGAAAACTTTTAGCCAAGAGGAAACCTCCGTCCTCTAGCAACTCCCAAGCACCAACCACAAACTCTGAGCCAAAGCAACGCAAAACCAAGGCGGTGAACGGAGCCGAAAGCGACCCCTTTCTCAAACCCAGCCTACCTCAGCTGTAAGATCACAGATGTCAGACCAGCCAATCCTCCGGCACATGCGGTGTATAAAGATCAGTGTAATTTTACATTTCTTTTCTCTTTTCCCTCTCTCATTGTGGAAAGGCTGACACTAGCAGAGTACCATGAACAGGAAGAGATCTTCAAACTGCGACTTGGACATCTTAAGAAGGTTTGCCCAATGCTGAACCTGCAGCGACATTAAAACATTTATTTTTCTCCTGTTCCTGTGCAGCACAGTCGCGTGAATGTATGTAAGATTTACAATTTATCCAGGACCAGGAATATAATAAGGATAAAGGGCACTTTTATACAGTTTACAAGTTAAAACCTAATTGGAGTCTGTCGCTTATTAAATGTAAAAAAAATCTTTCTTCAATGTGAAGATAATTGAACATATTCAGCCCGATTGTACCTGAACTCCTTTTGTGTGACTCTCTCTAAGGACGGAGCAAGCCTGTAGTTTGTCGATCTATTCGTTTTTTTTCGCGATGAATACGCATCACAGGCAGCTCCTGACAGACTCCGTATTAAGTCAACCGTTAAATATTTCATACAGAACTAGTCTGCAGTGTACGAGAGGGGATTTGATGAGTTCGTCCCCTTGTTATCAGAGTTCTGAAGTTCCTTCTGTGAGTTTGTGTGTTTGTGTGCTTGAATCATTTATAGGAGGAAGCTGAGATCCAGGCGGAGCTGGAGCGTCTGGAGAGAGTGCGCAACCTTCACATTCGGGAGCTGAAGAGAATAAATAATGAAGACAGTTCACAGTGAGTGTGACTTGATTTCTCTCACATTTGCTGCATTGACATTGGAACATGATGTTCACACAAGGCCAGTGTCCTCATAGCAACGCTTCTGCTGAAAAATGTATCACTGACACATCCGTCTTTAGTTTTGATTGTTTTCTGTGTTTTTTGTTTTTCCATCCAAAGATTTAAAGATCATCCAACGTTGAATGAACGATATCTGCTCCTCTACCTTCTAGGAAGAGGGGGCTTTAGTGAAGTTTACAAGGTAAGTCCTTCCATGTTTATATCACAAGTGTCAAAGCGAAATAATACTCTTAGCAGGTGTTGCTTTTCAAGTATAAGCCAACTTTTGTGTGCATATGTTGTGCAGGCTTTTGACTTGATTGAGCAACGATATGCTGCTGTGAAAATCCATCAACTTAACAAGAACTGGAGAGAAGAGAAGAAGGAGAACTATCACAAGTATGTTGGCCTCAACCTGCAGTATACAATAATTAGCGTTTCAAATGTTGTGACATGCTTAGACAAGCTGTTCGGATGTCCTTTGCTTGCGGTGTGTTGTTATTCCTTTCTATAAGCACCGACAGCGGGCTGTCAGTGCAGAATACAGCACCACCTCATGCTTTGGATGCTAATGGAAGCATAATCATCTTCCTCTCCACAGACATGCATGCCGAGAGTATAGAATACACAAGGAGCTGGACCACCCCAGGATCGTGAAGCTTTATGACTACTTCTCACTGGACACAGACACGTTAGTGCACTCGATCCACTGTTCTCAATGCATCTCCAGCACTTTGAGGTTGGTTTCTGTCTTCATAATTCTTCTTTTCCTCCCCATTCATTAGGTTTTGCACTGTCATGGAGTACTGCGAAGGCAACGACTTGGATTTCTACTTGAAACAGCATAAGCTAATGTCTGAGAAGGAGGCACGGTCTATAGTCATGCAGATTGTGAACGCATTAAGATACCTGAATGAAATCAAACCCCCCATCATCCACTACGACCTCAAGCCAGGTAAACACGACTCATCACATCAAGAACACATGCTGGTGCACATCTAATCAGATTGTGACAGTCGAGTAGTCATCAAACTAATGGTATGCCATTTCTTCTTTTCCTTTGATTTCAAGGCAACATCTTGTTGGTGGATGGCACAGCCTGCGGTGAAATCAAAATCACGGACTTTGGGCTGTCAAAAATCATGGATGATGACAACTATGGCGTGGATGGGATGGATCTGACATCACAGGGCGCAGGGACCTACTGGTGAGACTAAATGTCCCACATGTACTTATATCACATGCAGTATGAGAACATTCAGTGTAGAAGTACCACACTATAGAAATACTCCATTATAAGTAAAAGGTCTTTATTCACTTAAAGTTACTGTGAGCAACTTTTAACTGGTTATGAATTTAATACTGACAAACACGACCAACGAAGGAGAAGCCCACCACCACCTTCGTCCACAGGGACCACCAAAATCAACACAAAATATAAGTTACTTGTACTACTACACCAACAAGTATCAGAAGTAAAAGTACTGGTTTTGCAAATTGGTCCTTTTCAGTGTTAGATTATTAACGTGTAAGCAGTATTTAGTGGTGTTGTTGGTCGTGGTGGGGCCAAGTTTGAGTGTTTTCATGAACTGTGGAGTAGTATATTTTTTAAAACTTTCATGTTTTGTATGTGAAATTTTTATATATAAATGACTAGTAACATTTGTTAAATAGATGTAATGGAGTACAAATGTATGGATATGCTCAAGTAAAGGATAAGTATCTCCAAAATTGTACTTACCAGTACTTTCAGAGTAAATGTGCTCAGTAACTTTCCACTAAACCTTTTTTTTAATTTATTCTGTCCAGGTACTTGCCTCCTGAATGTTTTGTGGTTGGCAAAGAGCCTCCAAAGATCTCCAACAAGGTGGACGTGTGGTCTGTGGGTGTTATCTTTTTTCAGTGTCTATATGGAAGGAAGGTAAGGAGGTCAATACAGATTCTACCCTTGAATGTCTTTGTAATCTCTTGCGTGATTATTAAGAACTGCTCATCTTTTCTTTTTTTGTTTTTTAGCCTTTTGGCCACAATCAGTCCCAACAGGACATCCTGCAGGAGAACACCATACTGAAAGCTACAGATGTCCAGTTCCCTGTCAAGCCCGTTTCCAGTAATGAAGCAAAGGTAGGTGAACTTGCATACAAAAAGGACACTGCCATTTTAAAATAAGTCAATGGAAAAAAACATCTTCAAACACGTGATTGACATACACATTGTGGACACTGTTTCGCCTCCCTCCAGGCCTTCATAAGGCGATGCCTGGCGTACAGGAAGGAGGACCGCATCGACGTTCACCAGATGGGAAGCGACCCGTACCTGCTCCCTCACATGCGGAGGTCGAGCTCCTCTGGAAACCTGCAGATAAATGCTGCTGGCTCAGGACCCGCCTCCTCCAGCATCATCCCGTACTGACGGCATCGCACTGTGACGAAAAAGGCAAAGTTGCTCCCACAGCCGCAGAGCTTCTCGGAGGCTCTGGCTTGTGGGAGAAGGAAACAGCCGGCAACAGGAGGAGCAGGACACCGGTGAGGAGATCTCACCCGGCCTCCTCGGACCTGCGCCAGGCTTCTACTTGTTTACCAAGGCTTGATCAGTGAGGGGACGATTTTAAAAGGACATGGGTAAAGGGATCTTTTGAGGGTCCAATTTAAAGCACTGATACTGACGACGTACCTTGAAGAAAATGTGACTGGACGCTCTGTTCAGATGTTGCAGATGGAAAAAGCCTTAAAGGGCCGAATGGACACTTTTTTTTGCAGCCCACCGTTTAGATTAAATAACGCGGTCCTGCTGTGGTGCAAATGATTCAGCTGCTAGAATTTAAATTACTGGGGAGGAGGGGGACAGTGGTCGTTATGTAGAACTACAAAGATTTCACGAATGATTTGGCTAAATGTTTTGTTTATCCACAAATCTTAGGCTTTAATTTGAGTTACTTAGCCATGGGAATGTAATGTGTAGCATACAAGTGGCATCTAGTGACACGTAGGTTGGGACAGCGTACTTGCGTTTTAATGCACAAAGTAACCAAATGTAGAAATGTGACGATGTAGAAAATCCTATGCAGGAATATTAATTAATAAATTGGAAACTGTATATGCTGTACAGGTGGATTTTAACTGTAACAGCAACGTGTACAAACAGTTCAAATGTCCCCATGCAAACTAGTATTTCGTTTTGCTGCTTTGTTGCTCTTACTTTTATAAGGGCTGTATGTTCCACTTTGGGTACAAATTGTACAGTTCTGCTAAAGGTGAATAATAAATGCCAGGAAATGTTTTTCCCTCCCAGTGAATGGTACTGTAGGACGAGTCCGGTCATTCCTAAATTAACATCCACACTCACCTGGTAATCTCTCCGTTGTCTTGAGATTACACTGCCACTCTGAGACTTTGTTTGGTACTGCAGTGATACAGGATGCGTAACAGGAACCATTTAAGAGATGACGATACAAAGCAGGGACCACAGGCTGAGATAGAAAACATACATTGGTTTAATCAAGGTAACAATATCAATTTACGAATGATTGTTTTGTACGAAACCAAAATCGTTTCATGGATACAGAAGATAAACCTGCTTTTTCTAAAGGAAAATCCCCAGGAGTATAAATTACCACCCTCTTCCCCTGAAGACTTTAAGCAGTTCACAGAACCACTGAAAGGTCACGGTGGGATTTCTTTTCTTTTTGTGGTACCTTCAATAATTTTTTTGCATTTCCTCTGATCTATCAAGGGGCTGAGCTGTAATATGAATGTTGTATTCAGTAGTGGACCACTGCTGAGTGAGACAGACTACTGTACACTAATAACTGGACTGCACCAACAAACTGTTGTGGATTAGAAGGGCTGCAAAAAATATTATGAGGGAACAAAATTCCCACTGTGACCCTTCAAGTGCTCTGTGGTAATTTAACCACTAAATAAAGGACGCAACTTACACGCATTCATACTAACCTGTTTCCCCACATTTTACACTTTGTCTTTGAACCAAGTTCAAAAAGCCCACATAGTGTAATTAACACATGTATTACTATTTAGTAACAAGTTGATCTGCGACAGTTAATACTTGATTCTTGTTATTTTCCTTCTTTTGCCATCAACAAACTGCTGCTGGACACACATTCACGCTTCATGTGGAGAAGACCAGCCCATGGTTCCAGTGTCGAGGAACTCGAGCTTGTACAACTGGACCAGTGTGTAGAACAATTTGTCAACGGAGTTGTGCAGCTTATAGACGGGCTAGATTGTGTTAAGAGCAAGCCGACGACCTCGATCGTTGCTCTCTGCTAAGATGAGTCTGCAGTCATTGTGATATTTATTGATTCAGAGGTGGCCACTGATGACGGGATGGGGGTTCTGGTCCGTGAACTGTTCATTTGTATGGTGGAGGGGAGATATGTGGTGCTGGTATGCAGCGTAACAGCAGGAGATGCATGAGCAGTGATTGGTGGAAGAACAAAGTCAGACGGAGGCAGAGTTACACCAGGGACACCAGCTGGCATGTAGAGAGGTGGAAGACCTGCGGAGCACAACAGTCAGAGTAGAAAAACACTTTTAAATGTGCAACATTGAGTATTTTCTTATCTTGCATTTTTTATTCTCGTCTGTTTGAATGTGGTGGCTACCTACCTGTAGGTTATTTCAACCATAAATTGCTATATTTCCAAAAGAAAAAAAATGGCATTAAAAGTAAAAAGTCATAATATAGTATGTCAAAGAACGTCGTATAAAGTCATATATTACGTCATAAAGAATGTCATAAAAAGTCATAAAGTATGTAATACACAATGTCATAGGTCATAAAAACAGTTTAAAAAGTCACAATATAATATGTTGAGGCTGTAGTGAGTGCAGGCGAAAACAAATTTAGAATAACACCAGAATCCTTTACCAGTTATTCCGTTCTGTGTGTGTTCTGTGTTCTGTTTATGATAATCCTTTAAGATTATTAACAACTAACCCAAGCACATCTCAAAGAACATGATACCTGCACGTTGTAATCCACCAACTCCAGGTGTCAATACGTGGCCCACGTCTGGCAATGTGATATTTAGATTTGGTAAATGAGGAAAGGGTGGAAGACCTCCAGGTAAGGGAATTAAACCTGTGCAATAAATACATACACATATATTAGACCATGCTAGGAAGGCAGGCAAAAGTCATGGACGTTTGGCTTCAGAGTAGCTGGCTTTGGCACCACACCTGGGAAGCTATAATCACCTAAAAATAATTTCTACAGACCTGGTGGTGTGGCAGCAGGACTGACAGTCAGGGTGGCGCTTTGTGAGGAGGGGAAGTGGCTGAGCAGTGGGACGGTAGGAGCTTCTGAAATAATAATGTGTGTGTGTGTGTGTTTACACTGTTCACATACATTTTGCTTAATCTGCAATAGTCAACCTTACATCAATTCAAACAGGATATTTTGAGCAGTCAGATATTGTAGTGTACCCGTCTGTAGTTTGCTGACAAATGTGGTCGGGTTAGAGCTGACTGACACACCGGAGAGAGCCTGCTCTAATCCAGTCGAAGCAGAAGAAGATGAAGACACAGCCACAGGAACGGTTGGAATGACAGCGGAGAGGAGGACCTGGTAACCAAAAGGACGTTATCTCAGTCAATGTTGACAACACCTGGAAGCAATTATTTGTTTGTACAAGATGCTGAGCTATACCTCTGTGAGGCCATCTTTAGGTGAAGTGGCTGGTTCACTGACAGTCTGTGCAGGGACACTGATATTCTTGCCCTCTAGAAATGGCAGTGTGGGTATCCTGTGCAGGAAGCCGTAGCCAATCCCACACCCTAGACTGGAGAGACAGAAATACTGTGAGGAGGAATGTCCAAACATTTCACAGTAGCCTTAATGATGTGAAATGACTTCTTCTCTGGGGGATCCAAATGTTAAAAGACCTTCATCCAGTCAGTGTCTGTTGTTGTTATTGAGTCCAGCTGTCATTAAAACAGGGCAGTCTTTCTCTTTACATTTCATTTGAAGATTCCATTCAAAATGTACTCAGAAAAGGGAATCTAAAACTGAAATAAGTCATAATAAAATAAGACAAGTTTGTATAAATATACATTATATAAAACTACCTGTTGTTTTTAATTCCTTTGTTGTTGGTTTCAGGGTGTTTTTCCAAAATGTTAATTCATAAATGTATGTAAATAACTGCTAAATGTAGAATACAACTATTACAGAATCGAATTGTTCAGTATGTTCACAGATGTTTAATTGTTCAGTATTTGTCAAATGAGCCAGTACAAAGGACTGTACAGTGCATTCTTAAAGGGTCTCGTACATACCATCATTTTCCTAAATGGAAGTAGACACTAAACCAAAATGCATGGCTTTCACCTGGCAACAGAAGTAAAAATCAAACATGCCTGCCGTCTCCACCCCAATCACAGTTTGGGGTGATGACCACCTCGTGGCAGTTGTCCGTATCTGTGTTGTAAACGTACAGCTTCAGCTCCTTCCCCTCACTGGTTTCGACCACGGAGAACAGATCTTCACTCTGTTGAAAGAAGCGGAGATTCACGGCAGGTCAACCTGCTGCCAACATTTAGGGTCAAACGTTACCGCCGATCTACAAAGCAAGTACCTCGTTCATGACGGTGTCGGCTCCTATGATGTAGTCAGCGTGGGCCCTCAAACCAGCCAGGGCTGCAGGGGAGTTTGGTTCCACTTCCTGGACTCACACAACACATATAGCATAAACACATTAGGTGATCGACAGCAATACTTTCTAAAAAAACCTCATTGTTGAATGTTATTTTACACTTCTTTGTGATTATTTTTAATTAAAATGTTGCAGTTATGCATGTTGCACACTCACCAAAACATGCCAAACACTTTCATTTGCTCCTTCAAAGCTGCAGAAGCGAATGCTGACTCCCAGAAGCCCCTGGCCGCCCCACAGGTTGCTGGGTGTGACGGTTGTCTCCCTCACTGCCAGAGTCTTGCTGCTGTACAACAGCATGTTGGTGGGCCTCTCCACGTTCATCTTCAGCAACTCTTTGAGGGTGTCATTGTCCTTGTTCTATGCAGATCAAAACATGCAATCATCAGTCAGAACACTTGTTGATGCCGGTCCAGCAGCTGCAAGTAAGTTTCATCATTGCAATTATAGTAAACTTACCAGTCTAGTGTCACAAATGGAAATGATGAAATCAAAGAATGGCTCCAGTCCCGCACAGCGACCGGGGGAATTATCTTGCACCTGTAAAGAAAGCATCATCGAGATAAGACAACGAAAACCTTGCAAACTGTGTAAATTGTCCTTCTGAGACGCCGCTGAGACCCTGCATTAGAGATTCATTCACAGAAAGATGAGGTTTATGGTGTAACTGTATATTACTGCTTTTAAAATATGTAAACTGACAAAAACACGAGTATATGACGAGCGCAGTGAATATCTGTCTTTGCCTCTGACATCCTGGACAACATTTTCAAAACAGAGGGAATCTTGTAGTGTTTAGGATCAAGCTAATCTGAAAACAAGAATCCACTCCAGTAACTTCAATACAGTTTCTTGTAAAAATAAATGGCATTTTTGGCATTTTCCCTCAATGAAGTCAGTGTTGGCACAGACACCGCTGAAGCGTACCGGATACGTGGGTCCCTAAAATGTATTAGTTTATTAATCTTGAGCAGGTTCCACGGTTCTCAAATGTGAATTAATGTTTTGGACTGTTCGGGTCAAAACTCCTGCGACACTTGTAGTATAAAAAACATCTTCATCGTGAGAGAGTGTGGCCTTCATCAGGGTTGGTCTCACATAAAGTTGATTCTCAATACAAAAAGGTTTTGTGGACTTCTCAGTGTTTTGACTGTTGGTCAGTCAAAACAAGCAACCAGTAACTGAAATATTTCAACTTTGGCTTTAGGGAGATGTTGGGGGCATTTTTCACAATTTAATATATACAATTAATTAAAAAGAGTTATATGAAAACGGTAAATGGGCTAGTTCGTCGCCTTTTAGTTTTAAAAATCACAAGTGTTTTTCTTAATGAAGGCACACACCCTTCTTCGCTGGGTATTTATAACGATAGTCGCCACACAGGTTATTCTGGCAACATGCAACGTGAAAAAGAGATCAGCTGATGTTGTTTACTGCGCATGTCTGAATACTAATTTACCATGTCATATGACTACAAGCAGTTTCAAAACAACCTGACAAATGGACCGTAGCTCATATAAAATAGTCAGTAAATACACCTAAACAACACATTACAAACATTAGAAAAAAAAGTCAGTTATATTGACAGTTGGCGATGAGCTGTAAGCGAAACCCCTCAAAAAACTGCCGCTGAATGAATATATAAATGTGATTATTTGGCTGTGGAACTAGCTACAGCGCTAGCAGGCAGAGCCCTCATCCTCTGTCCCTCTCTGCCTTTAAAGTAAATACGCTGCATTTTGCTCTTACTCGGAGGACGTGGTAGCCTTCAGTTCCTCCTCCCGGTATCTCGACGCTCTCAGACCCTCCCATGTTTCTCCTGGACGCGAGTGGATCAGGGTTTGGCCGGCCGTGTTCGCTAACAGACGTGCTCTCCACCGGACCATGTCCGTGGTAAACAGCGCGCTGTTTGTGCAGCGCTTCCTGGTTCCCAACACTTCCGCTTTGTTGCAACCAACCCTCAGCTGTGCGATGACGTCATACATGTCGACTGCAAAAGCTTGAAATCAAATTAATGATCATCCAGATGTAGGCTATGAATTAGCAAAAGGGGTGGAAGACAGAGCTATTATTAAACTCTACTGCCAGGCTGGATAACCTACTGACTTGGGGGCCCCGCATCTTCAGGGGCCCAAAGGTTCACTGCATGTTTTCAACTGCATTTGCAAATTTGCAATGGAATTCCCATGAACACATATTACTAAGAATAGCCCTGCTTGTGGGGTTGTGTGAAAAGCTAGTGTAGGGTGTTAATGATTTTCGGTTATATTGTGATCACATGGTGCATATTCCTAAAAAACAATTGTGTTAAATCAACTGACTCACAGAAGACTTGAATTAAGCTGCCATGAGTGATCTGCTCAGTACTTAATGGAAACTTGGAGGTGACATACACAGTGCACCGAGGGCGCTTTGTGGGGGGCGAGAGGGTCAATAGAGGGGCACCACAAGACTTTTCGTTACGGGCAAATTGTAGGTCATATACAAGTCTTTCAGGTCTCTGAATGCTGGGTATGGCAGGCACGGCCTTTCTGAGACTGTTATTTCTGTATGTTTGTTTGCTCTGTTATATTTGTACTTCCTGGTCTGGGATGTCACCTGCTCAAAATTTGCTTTATCAAGTCGGGCCAAAACTCGATAAAGCCAATAGTTTTGTTCATTTTTGTGATGTTAGTCTGACTCCAGTTTAGGTCTAACGTTCAAAGCTCTGCTGGAAGGTAAAGGACATTTACTTGTGGTCAATTCTACAGTACATTTCGAGGTACTTTGGTTGAGATTCTACTCTGAAAACTTCTAACACTTACCCCTCAATATTTCAGAGGAAAAAAACAATATTTAGCTCCTATCTGATCTCTGTTGCTCAGTAACATTACTTTGCAGCTAAACTTCAATTCAAAATAGAATAAGCTCATGAAATATGATGATGTACATCACCAGCACCGGCTTAAACATTCAAATGTTAAAGTCGATCAATAATTCAACACTATTCATGTGATATTCTTCATGATGAGTTTAAAGTACTATACTATACTTTACTACTTTTTTAAGTGCTACTGTACTTTTTCTTTAAAGAAACTTTGAACGCACAACTTTCACTTACTTACAATAATAAAATGACCAGGAGTTCTGCCTCCTTCCTGTCGTGTTATTGTCTGATATGTTATAGATTAGTTGCTTGAATTAGGTGTGTTGATCAGAGAAGTAATAAAGACTACTTACCTTAAATTCTCTGGAAGATGAGTAATGAGCCTCTTGGCTAGTAACTTCCTGCCACCATCTATAACCATTAACATAGCTGAGCGTTGTCAGTGTCAGCTTTATTTTTAAAAGTAGTTTTATTTAATTCAGATGCCAGCTGCTTTTGATTTGATCGAACAATCATAGAGCAGAAACGAGAGCCGGGGAAGATGTGACGGAATAAAATTGTCTCCTTGATCAAACAGTGATAATAAAGGATATATCATCTATGCTATAAAGAACATGGGCTCAAGGAGTCAATTAATGTATATGTAGTTGAATATCTCTGTAGTGCAGCAGCTCCTATCAAATAATTTGAAATAAACTTGCACAACATTGTGATTCTCCTCATCAATCATCAGTTATCCTGTCAGTCTATGCATCCGCTGGAGCTCGCCTTGATTTGGTCTCTCTGCAGGCTCCGCTGGATGATATTTAACCTTAACAAACGCGTTTATTTTTCCTCGTCAGTGTTTGCACATCTTCCTGCAGGGTAAAAAAAGAATCATTATTCTAAAGTGACTATATGAATCACAATATTGGTTCAGACCACAATGTCAAGAATAACATCTTCTTGTCAGATTGTATCACACTGATGCTTGATCTCCTCTCTTGGATGAGGATGCATTTTAACAATTTGACAGTTAGAAAATCCCCAAATATATTTGACTTTTCAAAATGACACATTAAAAAGAAATAATACCATACAAATCTCAAACGTACAGTACATGTCATCTTTCATTGTTCCCAAAACAGATCTTCACATCTATTATCTGCTACTGGTGAGAAATAAACTTCACATGGTGACACTTACTCATTCAAGAAGCAGACAAATAAACTCTGTATTTCAGCAGAAGCTTGCTGACGCATTAAAACCCCGCGATCACTACACCGGATAGCTCTTTCAGATTTATACCTCTTCAGTCCTCCCAGGAATTTACAACTAAAGCTGCAAAGCTAGACTACTTCTGCTCAGGCATTTATACCACAAGTCTGAGGAGGCAAAGAATACATTAACAAAGAAGTGGCCAGAAATTAAAACGTCCATAATTTGATGAATATTTATATGTCCCCCCCCTGCTTGCTGTGCCCCCACTCACACACTGCATTTCTACACAGTCAGCAAAGTCACAGCATCAAACATCATGAGCTGTTGTTGTCAGGGTTAGTTGCTTAATGTCTGCGAGAGGTCCTTTTTTGGAGGATGAAAGGCTGTTGATACAAGCTCCCTGATGACATATTGGACTCTGTTGTGCTGGGAAGCAGAGATAAAATGCTAAGTGAATTAGAAAAGCCTCCGTTAAGATGACAAAGCAGCAGAGCCAAACGCCAGTACAAGCCGTTATCACGTCATTATTATCGCTGTTTATCATTTTAATTTTAGCAATATCAGACACATGTTTCCTGTCCTGCTCTTCCCCATAGTTCCTATTCAGAAAAGAAAAAAAAATGCTTGAGAGCTCTAAATGACTGTCATGTGCTTAGAGGTTGTTTTGTTCATTTAGCATGCATGATAGCAATCACCACGCAGACACTTGGTTAGGTGCAGTGTAATTGCTCCTGGGCTCATGCTTATTCCTCGAGAAAAATGTCCAACAGAGACATTTAGTAGCAGCCTTTCAACTTTAACAAGCGCCACATTAGGTGAACACTCCTCAGCCACAGAGACAGGCAAGTTACAGTCTCTGGACTATTAATCTCCTGCTTAAAATGTACTTTCTGCCAAGATTAATCAAGCCGTGGACACTCAGTCAATAAGAGGAGGCTATTTAGATAAGTATAAACCATTATAATTACTTTAGAAGTCAGAGGCTTTAAGGTGTTACAATTGATTCTGTTTTTTAATGTCACGCTGCACTTGCTATTTGAATTTAAGAACAAAATTAGCAGATTGCAGTGGCACGTAAACACCTTTTACACCAGAACACCATTGACCTTTAAGTATTAGAGCAAAAATGCTGCCGGTGTTGAGCTGTGGATTGCTCATAAATAATGTTGAAAAGATTTTAAAAAACATTGATATTCCTGCTTAATTGTGGATTTGTGCATGTGTGTTTTAATGGTGTGTGGAGATGAGGAGGGGGAAGGGCTGACAAGCAGCCCGCAGTCAATATCATCATCATCATTTCATTAGACTTGCCTTACACAATAGGAACGTCAGTATCTATCAGGAAGCTAATGTGGCAGTGATTCCCATGGGCGGGAGATATATTTGGCACTTCAGGAAACCACTGAGGAGATTCATGGATATATAAGAGAGGAGTAACACAGCTGAGAAAGGATGGACGGCTATTGAGTGTGTGAGAGGGAACTAAACTAACTCTTAAATAAAAATATTCACAAAATATGTCCGTAATGGAAATACAACTAGAGAAAAAAAGGAAATGCAACAAGCCCAATGAAGGTGATTGTCTTTGTTTAATTTGCGGGATTCAAACATGTTTTGAATCCTTTAAATGTGTGTGTGTGTGTATGTGGTGTAGGTGTGTGTGCCAAGTGTGAAATGGAGGGTGAACAGACTAGTGCAGAGACAGACATTAAGTGTTTCACAGTCTGGTGTTCAGAGCCTTCCCCGCCCAGCATTCAGAGACAGAGGCTTCTGCAAAAACAGAGCTGCTCCAGCTCTTTATTATTTTACTGGCCTGATCTCCTCTCGATCAAAGTTTAATTACGCTTATAATTACAATTGATGGAGATACTGATTGTTGATTAAAGTGATGAACCCTTTAAAATACTACTCTCATCAATTTTATAGTCTATTAAACCTTTTCTTTTCAAACTTGATTTACCATTATAGTCCAAATATAGCAAATCTTCTGAAACATTTTGCATTTTACCGAATAGACTGACTGATATTTGTATACTTACATACTTTGAGTGGCCATTCATTCATGTCTAGCATCTAGCGAGTTACTAAACTGTGACAAACTATAGGAGCTAAAGGCCAAGTTTCATTTGCATTCAATTATTATAAGATTCTCCAACACCTGCTTCCAAATTAGCCGTGATATTATTACCCTTTGGCACGTATAACCGTCAATGACAAAACAAAAAAAAACTCTCCCTTTAGATGTGGGAAGAAGTCAGGGGTTATTATTTCTATTACCCCATTATATTATCCCTTTAATCCTCTGTTCCCTGTAACTTTACACAGCAGCCGGTGACACCGGCTCTGTAAAGATCGCTGCACTGGAGCATGAAACAAAGAAGCAGCGTCTGCTGTGGTGGAGGATGGGGAGGGGGAGCCAGTGAAACAGCCAGTCCCTCTACGGCTGTGGCGAAATAAAAGGCAGCCAGGCAGAGCCTTGAAATAGGCGCCTCGGAAAAAAATGTTAGGAGAGCGCAGTCTAATGTGTTTTATGATAAATATCTTAAAAGTGTGAGTAATGAGAGTAGTAAGGGAATTGGCAGGGGGTGCTCGTGAAATCTCAGCTGTGAGATGATCGGCCAATAAAAAATCCTTCCAGGGTGATTAATCTGACCAATGGCTGGTGACAGCCAGGTGGATTGTGAAGATGTGCGAGAAAAAAAAAGGAAAATATGCACATTTACCCAAACTTGTCTCCCACTTTTTTATACATTTAACTTTATTTGCATATATTTGTTTAGAGGTTGGATTCCATTACACTTTTCTTGCACTCAACCTGTCTTTTGCGGCGACTGATGAGCCAGGAATTTTAACTCCAATGTTGTTACTGTTGTTCTGGAGACCCCGGGCATAAAGTAAAAAAAAGCATTGTTTTATCACCTTTATACTTCATGCCTTTAATCATGATTTTGAACTGATGACATGACATTTGATATGCTCTGTGACTGTTTAGTTTTGGCAGCACTTTCTAAACCAGCAGTATCCCTCCCAAATCCCTGATAATGCATCTGGATTTGACCTTGTTCACAAGGGGTCTAACCTTGTGATCTAACCTCTAATGAACCCCAAATAACAACATGTAGGATATCATACATTTATTTGTCTGTGAATGACATTTTGGCAAACAAATGGAATATATATATTTGCTTGTGCATAGTCTAATATGTAAAACAATACATATTTAACAGTAATAACAATGCTTCATACTCATTTCTAACGAGCCCAGTTTGTGGCAAAGTGGAGGCTAATCAGCTCAATAATTGCCTATTTGTGTTTTAAATGTCAGAAGAGTAGAAAAACATGAATTTGTAATTACCGTTTTTTAAATCGTTATACCTATAGCGGTGTAAGTAAAGCTAATGTCAACTTAACACATTGTTGTTCACCATACATATATATTTGTCATTATACAAACTGCAAAAAAACACAGATGTTCGACAGCTCATGTCTTTATTAGTGCTGTGGATACAACAATAACACTCTGCAAATGATGGCATGAAGTTAAAGTGCCTACATTGAATTTAACAAAGGGATATTTCATCCCACTAGTTCAGGAATGTACAATTGTTCAATAAATCATATTACAGCAGCAAACACTGTGCATTTCATTGTTCAAGCTAAATTCTTTATGATAAATAATCCCAGTTTCTCACGTTGTTATTTTTAACATAAAAATGTTACTATAGTGAGCATGTTAAGAAAAAAACAAAATTTGGCATAATATAGTTTTACTCCATTTAACACATTATCATACAGACAATCATTATGTCTGCAGAATAAAAGCTGCCCAGTGATCATGGTTCAGCGTTGTGCTTTCTATCATGAACAAAGCAGCCGCAAACCCATCCATGCTTCCTCCCACATATAGCCAAGTGTCTGGACGATATTCAGTCAGTGAATCACAATGACATTGCACAGTTACACAACATAGATTGCACTAAAGTTAAGGGCGGTAAGTTAAGTTTTCTTGTACAAACATCTGAACCCATCCATAAGGGAGAATAAATGTACCTCAATCCTTCTTTGGTTCACAAATACAGTAAAATAAATCAATGTTGTTCAAAACATTGTGATATTGTACAGCAGGGTTTCCCAATAGGAAGCATACATTACAACTGGAAACGAACAGCAGGTAACCTATTCACAATTAGAACCTCTGAATATAAATAAAGTGATTCATCTATTACATATTACATAGATATAGGATTATTTTCTCACTGTAAAACTAGGACACATTTGGCACAAAGGCAATGTAACAATACTATACACAATCTACACAAAAATCTCTAAAAACACAGCGATCAAGTACAATGACCGTGTTATATATTTCCACCTATGTAATATCAAAAGGAAATAACAGATAGGGTACAATGTGGCGGCGCATCTGGCTTGATAATCACACAGACGACATGGAGCACCAACAGTCAGTACATACATAATGCTATAAGGTTCCCTACATTGTGCTCTGATACTTGTGAAAAAATATTTCGATCTCATTCTGTTTTTACTGACCGTCATATAGTACAACAGTTTTCTTTTATAGCTGCTATAGAAAGAATCATTCAAGTGCTCAGATATTCTTGCTATTCTATATTTACATAAGAAAGTAACCAGTGTAAATCTCATGTCATCCACATTATTAGATACGGGTTAATTTCCAGTTAACATGGTTTAGCAAGAATACCATGTGTGCTTTTATGATTCTCTCACAGATATGTCCTTATTACTCAGATAACCTTGTGTGCAGATGTGTTGAATATAAGTCATCGCTGATAAAGACAGAAGAGACAGAGAAGAGACACACACGGCGTATTATTTCTTGTGCATTGCCAGAGAAGATCTGTAAGCAAAATTCAATGTCTTTATGAGGCAAAAGGGAGATGAAGCCAAGCTCAAGGCTCTACAGAGTCGGACATGTTTTGGGGGGAAATGGTTTAGGTGCGTCTCTTACAAGTCGTTCCCCAGTCGCTCAATCTCTTCGATCAGGAAGTCGATGTCTGACATGGTAGCAGCGGGGTTTGAGATGACCATGCGGAAGAAGTTGACCTTGTCTCCTTGCGGCTGGTAACCCACCATCGTAGTCCCGGACTCCATCATCATTGCCTTGATCTTTGGGGCCACCTGTTGTGGGAAAGCATACAATGTTAACATCCCAATTCCACAAAGCAACAGCATAAGCCCACACTATTTGTCCATGATTTTACTGTGTGAATTCCTAAATCTAAGTAGACATTATATGACTCAATCTAAGAGCGCAGGGGAACTAGAAATGTATCCTAAAAAACAGATTGATGAGACCTCACCTTGTGCAACCTCTCCCGCCTCTCGTCACCATCAGGCAAGCCGCGCAGACTCGGTGGAATATACCAGAAACACACATTAGTGTGCTGCGGCTGATAAGAGAAAATGGGAACAACATTTGTAAAGAGCGGCGATAAAAAAACGCCTTCAGTAATTTCTGCTTCTCGTGTCAACTTGTCAGTAATGCAAAACGGTCCAATCAATCCTGGAAGCGAGTTAAGATATGAAACATATTGTTGCAGTTGTTTATCCCAAAAGAAAAGCAGGTGTTCTGTAAAGTAGAAAAGCCCAGATAGTAAGTATAATATAGACCGTTTTTCTTTGTTGCAGCAGCTGATCAGTATCCAAATATATTAAGATTTAGATTAATCTGACAAATCAGTACAGTGAATGCTTTAGCGTTCAATTAAAAAATATTTGCAGACGGTGCAAATAATGATCTCACCTCTCCGTCGAACACCATCTCGAAGCCCTCTCTGTTTTTTATTTTATTGTAGAGGTGCGCTGACAGATCCAGGCACTTGTCAATATGCTGTTCAAATCCTTCTGTTCCCTTTTAGGTAGATCAAAAAAAAGAAAGAATGAAGAATTGTTTTCATCACATTCTAGATAAGGCAGCAGGGTTGGTAGAGGCTCGACAAGAAAACAGCTGATGAAATCCACACCTTTGCCTTCCACATGAGCCAGAACTTGAAGATATCGACGTGCCGTCCACACTGAATGGCCTTGTCGCCCGTGTCGTATGTAATATCATACTGTTTATCTGGCTGGAAGAGGTAACCGGCAGACATGGAGTTGCAGCCTTGTAATAATCCCTGCAATGGGCACAGACGTGGGGTAAGAAACAGTGAGGTTACCGACCACCGGCAGAAAACAGTTATCTTATCCTGCTGGTGCAGAAGTGTTATCGTGAGCAGCAAGCAAGTGAAAAACAGTCTCACCCACTCTCTGACCAGAACGGCAGAGCACTGCAGCGGCACTCCCATCATTTTATGAGGGTTCCATGTGACTGAGTTGGCCCTGTACAGAAATTGAAACAGTAAACATAGTTCTGTGGGGGTGTGTGTGTATATGTGTGTGTGTCTAAATAGGTGGAGACCCCACTTAAAAAGCATGTTTTATTGCATTATTCGTCATTGAAATGCTCATGTTTGGCACTCTTTTACCTCTCCACTCCATTCAGCTTGTGTCTGTGCTTCCTGGACATCAGCAAGCCTCCTCCCCATGCACCCTGCACAGGACACAACACATTTATAACAGTAAGGATGCTAATATCTATTAAAGTTGCCGATGTGTAGAGCTGTGGTCATTTTTCTGTATTGAAGATCATCCATATTGCCTTACGTCCACATGAAGCCACAAGTTGTACTTTTCACAGATGTCTGCGATTTCATTGATGGGATCAAAGGCTCCATAGACGGTGGTGCCAGCGGTAGCATTCACAAACATCGGAACATACCCCTGCAAACCAAAAAGACATTGGTTACAAGGCACCTACTGCTGTCCCGTTTCTACTAGTCTGGACATCACTTTGCCTTTGAACAGAATGTGTTCCAGGAGTGTTACTTCAGACCGGGGGGCAGCATCACATGTGAGCACCTTACTGAAATAACCTTGCTGCTCTGGCACAAATAAACAAGTAAACTCCCCTGCTCGGAGAAGTGTCTCTCACTGTACCGAGTCTCTGATAGAAGCAAATCAATAAGTAAGTGGGGACGTTGTCTGAGTCACTGTTGCCGACATTCACCTTTTGCTTGGCCTCTATTACTTTGGCTTCCAAATCAGCAGGAATGACTCTCCCTCTAGAAAAGAAGAAAAAGACGTACAATATCCAGATATTTGACCTTTTGACCTTTTTGATCAGCATGTGGGTTCAGTATATGAAACAAACCTCTTATCCGTGTTCAAAAGGATCAGGTTCTCAGTCCCGAAGCCCAGAGCTGCACTGGCTTTCTTGATGGAATAGTGGCTCTGCAAGAACAGAAGTTGGATGAGTCACAATTCAGGCTGGAATTACACAAAAGATACTAATTGTCAACTGTGGTGGAAGTAATTCTTATTAATTTTCCTGTGAGAAATAAACGTGATGAGAAAGCTCTTAAATGTCTAAAAGTATTTTATTGAACAGACACTTTCAATAACACAATCATTTAGCTGAATGGACAGAGCTCCTTCCCAACGGATGGTTCGGAGGTCTAACAACAAGTCAAAGGTTTAACAGAGTATGCGTCACACAAACTGAACAGCTCGTAAACTGAACAGCCATGAGCCGTGTTCATGCACACAATGTTCAAGTTACATCTAAAAGGAACAACACGGTAAATTGCCACAGCATCAACCTTTGTGATAAAGGTGAAGTAATAAGACGGAGGAGACTGACATGCTCTGAGGTGAAGAGGACCAGTCTGGGTGCAGCTGCCATGCCTTTGGTCTTAACTTCAGGGAAGAACTTGTATCTGGCAATCATCACACTGTACATGTTGGAGATTGCTCCTCCTGTAGAGACCAACAGTGGTACAAAGTAAGTACGGTCATTAAATACACATTTGAGATACTTGACCCGAGTATTATATTATAAGCTTATTTGCACTACATAAGTAGTACTTTACATAAGTAAGTCTAGATTCTAGCATGTTTGCATGAGGTCTCAGAGTTGTTGAGGTCCTGGTTTGGCTCTGACCTGGAGAAAATATCCCATCGCCCTCTCCCTCAGGCCAGCCGATCATCTCTCTCATCTTTTTCAGTGTCAGCTGCTCCATGAGCACAAAGACAGGGGCGATCTCATAGGTAAACCTTGAACCAACCCAAAAAAAAATTGTTAGGTGTTCATTAAACAGTAGTATATAAATACAAAAATGTTCTCTCTGCCGTTTCATTCAAGTAACATTCTATATCACCTCCAGGCTGCAGGAGAGACTGATGGGATCAATATGAAATACATATTTAACAACATGCATTTGTATACTGTAATTGTACAGCATGCTTACTGAGCACGCTGCTCTCTCAATAGAAATGGAACAGATACAGTACGGTGTACACAGTCACACTTCAATGACAACACCATCTTATTGTTCTAGTAATGCCTTTTGCAGCAGGGGAATGACACAACAAATGCCAAACAGTCCCAGCTTCATTGATTGATACTATTCCATATATGAACAATGCACCTTTAATGAGTTAATATTTTAAAAAAACATTGGATAAATAATAGGAATGGTCTGCTGTTAAAATCACAAAACAAAGCGGTTACAGGTATACCTTTAAACTTGTCATTCCAGAAATGTTTTTCCGTGTTTTATCCTCCCCATGTATATAATTTGTTCCCGTCTTATCAAAGTACATTGAAACCCCTCTGCCTCAGAGAAGAGCACAGTCGATTTGGAATTACCGGACAGGAAGCCTCATCCATCTCCTCCTGACAAATATTCTTATAATTACACAAGTATCTGTCTATTCATGCAAAGAAATTAAATGAATCAGTGGAACATTGCAGAATGTCGCATTGTGCCCCACAGCATCTCCAGTATACGCACACACAGTAATATGGAGAGGGAAAAAAATAAACAAGTCAGATGCCACTTCGCAGATGTCGCACATTAATTTCACCGCATTCATTCATGCAGACTTCGCTCACTCATTCTGATTATGTAAGACTTGGATGTGATTGTCAGACTATTAGTGTCAGTCAATATCTGCCAGGGGTAATTAGGGTTGATGTAGTAATTAATAAAGGTAAATTACAAGTATGTAAGCAACCTCCACCCGCTGGTTCGAGTCATCCTCGGTGATGTCGCCAACAACACACGAGCTGCCTACAGTGCTTTTTTGAGGACAGACTGGTGGCTGAACAAGCAAAAGGGAACAATAGAGGTTTTTCAGAATCTTCACCATTGTGTGCTGATAAAAATGACAAACGACAGTACCACTTTCAAATAAGGCTCCCATTTATAAAAGAGCGCTTTATAGATACATTATAAGCACAAAAATGAACAAATCCCTCTTTCTGCTGCTTAACCTTTCTATCTGGTAATAATTTGGTTATAAATGTTAGTAAACCATTAATAAATGCTTAATAAGATGTTTATAAATGTCTTTTCTAGATGGTAAGTTGTCATACAGACCAATCAGTGAAAGGGACTTTTCACAATCAGACAACCCATATTTTCTTATGAATGATTTATAACTGATCTATAACCCATTAATAAATGATGTATTAACCATGACTTAAGTCATTTGTTAGAACTTAAGCCTTTATAAAGAGCACATTTTTAAAAAGTGGTACTGAAATAGTTTTTACAAAGTCTTCTATCCATTTACACTTATCTATTTATTTATTTAAGTAATATTTTCAGCTGTATTGTCAAGGGATTTTAAAAGTGTACAGGCAGTAATAATCAAAACACTCCCTGAATGGGAAACATGACCCTGACTAGAACCCAACTTGGGACGGTTTGCATCTTGGACCACTATAGGCCACCGGGACGTCCCAAAGTCTGGATCAAGTCTTCTTCCCTAAGTTGATCATCATACACTGAGCGACCAGTTTATAAGGTACACTAGTACAATTAAATGCAAAACAATACAGAGAACGAGAACAGAGATGCATCAACACCCGTCTGACACAGAGTGATGAAAAACTAGACAGTTTCTTGTTGCAATGGCAAAACTCATCACTGAGTCCCACTGATGGCTGTCCGTGCAAAGACGGTCTGAGCAGAGAGAGGCTCTTTCCCCCTCCTGGCATTGTTAAGTCACAAGAACTAGACGAAACAAAGACGCCATGTAAACTGTGAATGCAAATCAATACGCAATTTAGTTTGCCCGCAGGGCTGAATTATGTGAACACGGCCTTAGCACCGGCCAACATTCAAAAAAAAAAGTGGGGGAGTAGCTGTCTTTTTATTTTCCTGCTTGACGGACAGTCTATTAGAGCAAGCGCGGCACTCTTCAGCCTGTGACAGTAATTACTGTATGTCACTTCACATATTCCTCCAAGTGAAAGGCTCTCTTCTACATGGGCTGTTGAAATACAATGAGTACAAAAAAAGCTTTAGAAGAAAGGGAATCTAATGACTTCCAAACTGGATCTAATTGTTATTGCTTGAATCTCAAACAATATCTGCATGACTGTGTTTATGGAGGGCAAACATTATATTTTAAAAATCAACTGATAAATGACACTATCACAGTACTCACATATTAGTGTTGGCTGTAGAGGTAAGCCACTCTCCTGCCAACCCAACAATATCTAATCCAGTGGACAGCTGGTTAAAGAACCTGGGGTGACCTACGATTGGAAAAGAGACAACGAAGCAACATAAATCCCCTGAAAACAAGTAATCATTTGAGAATGAGAGAGAGAAAATGGCTTATCTGTAATCATTACACTGGCATGTAAGCTAATGAGAGTTATTGATCGCAGTAGGCCTCGCTGCAAGCCTGCACGCCTCTTTGTTCTCACCTGTTCTCACTCCATACTTCAAGGTGTCCCTGCAGTCCACCAGGATCTGCTCCAGAGACTCGGGCTGGTCGGAGAGCTCCAGGTTGAAGCCCTCCATGCCCTCCAGCAGCTGGTGGGGGTGGTGGAAGTCCAGGACCTTAGTGGATCTGTCAAAGGTCTTCCGCACGTAGTTGGTGAGGATTTCCACAACCTCCAGCAAGAACTGCATGGTGGGCTCCTCTCCATTTTTGGCGGGCAACAGATCTACAAAATAACCAGAGTCTCTTCTGGTTAGCCTAAATCGAAAGATTGCGGTTCACTGTTGATCTTCCTGTGATCTCTGGGTTTGTCAGAAAGTTGATAACTTTCAATTAAATTAAATTTATTTTGTGCACATCCTTCAACAGTTGGGTTAAAAGCAGCACTGGGGAATTAATACAACAAATGCAGTTCCATTATGACTTCATCAGCATATTATTTACTTATCATATATTTAGTCATTAGAAATCAGATTAAAATGTCCACAGAATGTCAGGTTTTTCAAAGTTGTATGCGTTAGATTTCAGGTTAAGTGTTAACTTTTTAATTCCAAAAGGATAAATACACATGCGTTTTTCTTCTTCTTTGTCTTCTTCTCAGCCTACCTCTGGCGAACATATTGGAGAAGTCGGTCTCCGTGCGTCTGAAATGCGCATCTTCTCCGGCGTTATCGCAGGACAGCAGGTTCTTGGCGGCGCGCTCCTTCAAGGAACTCACAATCCGGTTCCTCTCCTCCAAACTGTTGTTCTTCTGCAAAAACCCTAAAGGATTACAAGAAGATGAGGAGTCCGCAGGGTGATTACCATCCTCATGCATTTTGAGAACTGCACCTTTTTGAACAGGCACACTAATAATTCTCCTCTCCCATTTCTAACGTGTGTATCTCTCTCTCTCTCTCTCTCTCTCTCTCTCTCTCTCTCTCTCTCTCATGGGCAGAGGGGCTCTGTGGGAGGTTGAGCGCGTGACAACATCAAACTCCAGTCAAGCACAAACAAACGAGTGTCATGTAGCGGCTGTAAATTCTTATAAAAGCTCCTCCGACAGTGAGGAGCAAACAGCACAAGTATAGCCGATAACAACACGGTCCAAAAGCACATTTGATAACGTGTGTGAAATTATCTTTACACCCTGCTGAGGAGAATATAGTCCACGAGTATCACTGATAGAAATATGAAAAGTGTGCAACACTTTCCCCTGATGTTAATCCGAGCAGACAACACGTTTGTTTTCCTGCCCATTGTATTTCGAAGCGTTATACGGTCCTGGGTAATTACATGGCCTTAATGAAACCAGCAGAACGTGTCGGTCAAAAATGCCAGAAAATTGTACTGCGCACTGGTGCATGACATTCACTATGATGGTAGATGTCAGTCCGCCCTTGGTTCGTGTGGTACGAGACTAAAATAGACGCTCAAAGTTGAAATTGGAAAATCCGTTCTGCATAATTTTCTTCTTAAATTCCATCAGCTACAACTCAATTGATGTTTTTTTTTGCAGTTGATAGAACTTGTATTTTTTATTTTAAATTGCCAAGATCAGGTGTGGTGGTTATTTATAATTCAAATAATATTGGCTCATCGTATATCATCTAAATGATTAATCATTATTTGGATGCTTTTTCCAAATCCTGTTCGTCCTGGAATCCGTTTCCATTGAGTTGCAAATAAGCAGGGCCATGAATAGCCTACAGTCATGCTCGTGGACACGAAAAACCATAGATTGTATTCTTATTTCTTCCTGACAATTCATATATTTTGCGTAATTTTCTGAACAAAAAAAATAATGTAACTTACCACATATCTTCATTCCCAATTTCCTAGTACATCCATGGGCAACTCCACACCAGGCATCATAGCCTAAAAACATTTTTTTTAAATGAGAGGGCCTCACAGTCATTTTTATCTTGAACACGTTCATGTTAAGAATATCTGGAGTGACATATGAGGTCGAGTGATGTCGCATGATGAAACTAAAATAGCCAGCATGGGTGTCTTGGGATTATTTCAACATTAAACCGGCACCCCCCAGGCCCCTGGATCTGGATCAGTATATTTCCACAGTACAACCTATGGCGAGGACTTCAAATTAATTAGCCGTTTGGAACCACGCCAGGCTAAAGATCTAATTGATGCTGGTTAAAATGCGAGCATCGGTAAACATGAGCCGGCTGGTCAGTGACAGATAGAGAATTACTGCGTTATCAAGGGCTTCCAGCCAGAGAGGGGATGGGGCACCTTGGATGGAAAGCATAGACCAAATCCTCAAAAGCAGCAATTTAGGGGAGGAGGGGTGGGAGTGGGAGGAGAAGGAGGGTGGAGGGGGGCAGTCCTATTTCCATATCCTAATTTAACCCCTCGCTTTGGATCATTAGATAAATCATTGCCCTGCTCTGATCAGTGGAAGCACTTCAATTCAGTCCCCACGATGATTTTCTCCAAGTCAGAGGGAATGAGATGGACAACAAAAGGGAAAAGAGATGAACAATGTGCTGATAAAAACCATTCAGACCAGACGATACATTTGCAGAGGTGCAGCTTGAAGACTAGCTACAGGCAATTTGTGCATGGGCCTAACATGATGCAATCCCTGCTTTTCTTCACACACTCAATTGACGATGCAAAGCCATTCCGATATTAAAAGCAGGAACTGGTAAGAAGACCTAGCTCATGTTTGCACTGTACAGACATGAAATAGTTTATTTTATATTCAGCAATGTAAAAATCTCTATATCTGTATATTCCCTGTGTCAGGAGCACATCTAGACCTGTAAGATGATTTTAGATCCCTATTCAAGGATCAGGCTCTTTTTTTTTTTTTTTTCTTTCTTTCAATCAGCGGACAAAGAAAGGACTGTGGTGGATGAAGGTTTCTACAATGCCCCTTCTCGAAGGCTATGCTTAAGTGTGCCATTAGGGGCAATTTAATATGGCTGAATTAACAGCCACTTCAGGGGCAATTTTAATTTTTCCATGCAAGCACTTTATTCAGCCAGAGCCCATTTAACCAAACCAATGGGGAAAAAACACGAATGCATTAATACACCACCCCTAATAATAGGCCAATAATAATTATAATAACAACGATAATAATAATTATTACTTTGTAATCTTTGCAAATAATTATTCATTTGTTTTAGCTTTTCTGATAGGATGTTCCGGTGGTGCAGCCTCGGGCTTGTGTCCCCCGGCTAATTGCCTTCAGTGTAACGTTAGTGGAGGACATCAGGTTTTGACAGCAGCATTCGTCTGTCACGCAGATGCCGGGAGGTCGGTATGGTGAATGAAATGCAGCGATGATTTGTGGCGAAGGGAGCCTTCTCAAATGGCAGCGGATTCTTTTTTTTTTTTTTTATCTCCCCCGCTCTCCCCCTCGATGAAAATGATTAATGGCATTGCCCACAAAGTAAATAGCACACGTGGAATAGCATTTTATCTGTGATGGACCTACTTGAGCCCGGTGGTCGTAAATTTGTCGAGTTGGGATCCGGTTCGCCGCCAGAGGAGGAGGGTGCAGACGCCGCCATCACTCCCGACCCTTTGCCAAAGTCCTCACCTCAAAAAGCCTGGTCACTTTTTTCCCTTCTTTTTTTTTTTTTTGTTAATGCCCCCCAAAATCTCTCTTTATAGCCTATCAACCAAGATGAAAAGTAGCCCGACCTCACTGGCAGGGAAAGAGGAAAAACCGCACAAAATATACAGTATTTTAAATATTTGCCTCTTGCTCATTTTTTTTTCACAATGAAGAGATGCTCAAGTTAGAGACACAGACCTGTAGACGACAAGGGCACAGTCTGTCTTACACGTTGAGTTCAGTTCACTGAGCAAAGACAAATCCTCACTTGAGCCAATAACAGGAGCACGTTATTTCAGCACCATATCTTGATCCTGCTCAGGATGGATGATGGTTAAACAGCCGCCTCACACCTTCACGATTGTCATCCTCATAATAAATAGCACAGCACTATTTGTTATAAGCCAAGGCTATACGTTGAAATGCACATATCTGGAGGTAAGGCTATATGCACAAAAAAAAATGCAAATAGAAGCCTAAAAAAGAGCAGAATATTTTCTACATGATTCAAATTCATAATATGGCATGTATGGTCATCAGTAGCTTTAGACCCATAAACTTGCATGACAAATATCAGCTGTAGGTGATTATTTACATTGCTGATCGTGATGCAGATTTAAGTCCCCCACAGAAAAAAAAACGACGTGCATCCCTCGTTCCAAACCACCAACCGGTTATTAAAGGCTTTAAAACGAATGAACAATCAAACCTGTGCAACATAACGCAATTAATTCACAAACTACAGGCCGATTCTGTCACCTAAAGAGATTATTTGTGTGGGGAGTAAACCTTATCAAACACCTGTTAGAGCATCTCCAATGACAATTAAGAAGTTCGTTGAGTTTGGACTTGTTAGACCAGACAAACGCATAAAGCCACTTACCGTGATTATGTGGTGCAGGTGAACAGGTGCAGTCCCCCCAAAAAAGTGAATTCCCTCTGTCCTGGAGGCGAGACCACTGCTGTTACTCTTTGAAACACTCCGAGGAGAAGAAGAAAGAGGAGAAGAAAAAAAAACAGACCTGAGCTTCAGTTCCTCGTTGGACCCCACACAAGGTGACCTTGCTTTTGTTTTGCGAGTAGGTTTGATTTGCTGACATTTAAATCAAGCCTTGTCTGTTTATTGTCGTTGCGCACGAATGAGTCACTGCAAGTATAGCCTACATCCACCGGTGCTGCATATTTGTGGAGCGGACTCGTCTGCAGGCAGGTCTGCAGGTTTGACACTGAATGGCGCTGCTTTCGGCCCCTTAAGTGTGACTTTTTGTTTTTTTTTGGGAAGTGTTGATTGTCTTCGGATCTAGTTCTGGTTTGAATCCTGGTCACGGACGCGGACTCCAAGTTTGATGATATGAGCAACACATTACGTGAGGAGGGATCAGGATCGAAGAGGGGAGGGGGAGACGGTCGCTGGTTTTGTTCTTTGTGGAAAAAAACAAGAGGACAACCGTAAAGACACAATCACGTGCCTTAATACGCATTTAACTGCTTCTATATATTTATTCCCCGCACCCCAATAATATGAACGAGTTCCATCTCGACATTATGAACTGAGATCGAAAAACAAAAACGTTTGGAGATGACCTCAACCCTCGTTGTCATTACATCTCGAATATGCACCTGCCATAAACATCTTCTTTCCCCACTTCTTGTGCAGACAGGATGGTTGTTGAATGGTGAAGATGTAACCTATAGGACATGACACACTGAAAGGACGAAAAAACCCCAAAATCCACAAGGTGGCAGTGAGAAACCAAGAATGACTGCTGCAGGAGCAGAGACACAAATGGGCCACTCCAGATATACTTCATGGAGCTAATTATACACCGACCCATTAATCTGGAACACGTCACCATCATACATGGGTGCTGGGACACGAGTGGACACACAAGAGACAAGACAATCACAAGCAATCATCCGTCTGTTGTGAGATTGGTTATCTCTTGTATCATGAATCTGATTAAAGGCCATTTTGTCACTGTGACAGTGTTGATATAAAACGCATATACAGCTGTACGTTACATATTAGGACAGTAGTGTTTTCAGCACTGGACAGCGCCTCAGGCTGCTCCTGCTTCTAAAGGCTGATATCCTGTCTAGACTTCTCTATGGGGGCAAAATTCAGTTTGACTTAATTGCGTTCTCACTCAGAATTGCTGTCTGTCAGTTTGGTAATTTGACTAAACATAAATCAATTTAGGAATATGCCCAATATTAAATGCTAAAATAGATAATAAAGACTAGATTGTGAGCAGGCTGGAATGAGAAGAAATGCAGGATCTGCCTTAAAGATGAGGTTCACATCTCTTAAATCTATCATAAAGCAATACTCACATGTTCATATGAAACAGTTATCAGCTGCTGCAACTGTTCCTCCTGTCTAAAAAGATCCTTCCATCCCTTTTTGTTAGGCTACTATCTCTACACTGCAGCTTAGCACACAGATATTGTCTCTGGAAACACAAAATGAGGGAAATTCATAATAAACATACTGTCATTTTAAAAGATACTTGATTTGGCTAAGACAGACTGCTGATGGGTCCTATTAGCCTCAACTGAACTTATAAATGCATTTCTGCACAGAATAAAGACTCTGGATTTCGACTTTTCACAAGAGACAGGATAAAGAACTACAATGCATGTGAGTATTGTATTAAAATAGACTTGAACATAACCTTTAAGGCCCTTATCACTACAGTTTCAATGATGAAGTAATGAAATTACCACAAACTAACTGACACACAGTGAACCTGGGATTTTGGGGCCTGACGCTCTGGGATCCTTCGTCTGTCTAATAGTCCAGCTTGATGTACAATCAATGCTCTTCACAACAAATTCATTTTTCCTTGTCACAGATCTATTGTGAAACTGTCCCCAGCCAATATCTGTCATGACGTCTTTGTAAAGAGGCCCCCCTGCAGAAGTAAAGACTCACAAGATTTGTTTCTGTCTTTATGCTTTTCAGCCGCAAGGGAGTGGTGTAAAAAAACAACAACAAAAGATGTAAAAACCAAAGGGAAAATGGGTGGGGCTGTTTTTCCACTAGCTGTATGAAACTGTCCACAAGATGGGGCATAATCCAAATGTAGAGAGTGAGAAAGAGAGAGTGGGGAGGAGGGGTGTCTATTCCTGTATTTGTGTTTGTCATTAATTTGACTGCTATCTGTGAGTAGAATCTGACGTAAACAAGTATAGATGTCTGAATTGTGGCTGCACATAAGCCAGTGAAAAGAAATAAGAAAACTCCTTGAAAAGACAAACATTGCCTGGTCCTGTTCTGGTTTCTTTGCTGAGCCTGCAGCTGTCTGTGAATTTCCCTCGACTGTCACACGGTGTCTCACTGGTGTCACTGGTCTTTCCCTCATCTTGTAAACTTAACATCTTTTCAGTCCTATCGCCTATTCAAGAAGCACCCATGCACACATCTGACTGTATGCGTTTGCCTTGAATAAAGACTCAGAATAAATAGATAACTAAAACACTAAAATGAAGTTCCACTATAAAATGGCCACTTGTTCCATGAGATTTCTTTGACGAAGACTTGATGACAAAACGTGTCAGAGTGTCTTGGAGTTTTCTGTGGTATTTCTTTTGTCTCCATTTATCCTTATCCAAAACGCAACTTGGACAAACTCTATACAAACTATAAGTTTGATAAAAGTTATATTTCATAAATCACTATCAACTATTCTAAAACTCAGCCTCAAGCAAACAGACCCCTGTTGAGAGAAGACGCATGCTGGTGACGTCCAACTCTTAACCCAGAGCTCAGCACTGCAGATCAAGGATACAATTGGCTAACGCTGCACTGTGTGAAAAGCCATGTTTGATCTTGTTGAAGCAGGTGAAGCTGTGATAACATCAGCAGTCATCATGTGGGACAGTTTCAGGGCTGTAGCCAGAATTTTAGAAGAGCTGGGGCCATGAGGGCGAGTCCATTATATTAAAAAGTAAATACATTTACTCAAGTACTTGTACTCACGTGAGTATTTTCATTTTATGCAACTTAATACTTTTCCTCCACTACCCTTCAGAGACAAATATTACACTTTTTTACTCCACAACACTTATTTGACAGTTGTAGTTCCTGCCCAGATTTAAATTTAGCATAAAACACATATGATATATGATAATCTTCTAAAATACGACCCATTGTTAAAGATTAAACCTGTGGTTTCCAACATTTTTGTTATTCTACCCCTTTACAAAAAAGCAACATCAGGGTTCATCAGAGATCATTTTCCAGGATATTTCCAGGACATTTTCAGTGATGATGTAGCTGGTATGACAGACAACTATAGAGAATATGTTTCTCTGTGTGGAAGTCTGATTTAAACAAACAAATCATCCCTTACATGCTTAAACATTATGACAAATTAATTCAAAGTTAGTACAGTTTGCTAGGATGGTTTACTGCCACCGACTCTTCTCAGTTTATCACACCAAACTTTGGCCCCTTTATGAAGTGGAGTCTTCAACAAGGCCAATCACACCCACTGTGTGGTACTGCTACAAAGTCAAAAGTCAACTGCTTACACACTGATGCATCTGTATTAATAATATAATTCTTTCATATAAGTCACAGCGGCCGATTTTCTGCAAAACAAGTACTTTAGTGGTATAGGGTTCTTAATGCAACGTTTACTTGTTAGAGTATTATCACAGTGTGGTATTGGTACTTTTACACAGGTTAAGGGGCTGAGTCTCATTAACTCATTCATTTCTAATGACCGGTACTTAAATATTAGCTACTTGCAATTATATTCTGCAAGTGTATTTGTAACATATTTCAAAGTACAGCAGACTACATTAAAATGCACTACCAATTTCCCTTAGAGTGTACTATTTTGGTACGAGTTTGGTATTAATTTAATATTAATATATTAGTTGTCTATTACTAGTACATTTTGAGTATGCTCAAAGTGCAATAATAAATATATATCAAATGTATTTTATAATAGTCCCATTTTAGTCCAGTCAAGTGCACTAAACCTACTTAAAGTTAACCATTTGTCTTACTTTAGTACAACTTAAGTATAATAAGGTCAACAAGAGTTGTTCCAATTCAACACTCTTTCAGTATACTAATTGTTAATCTCATTTAATGTAATTTGGAGTCAATTTTTCACTTGGACAGTAAACCCTCACCTCTTCACATCACTCACGGTACTGTCCTCTACACAAACATGTGCTTTGACCATCTTTCACTATAACTTTACAGTTCTTTTATAAACCTATGTAATAGTTAGGAAAGGGTGAAACTACAACAGCAACACAAAGTGTTTCCCAATGAGATTACATTTACAAAAGGAGGTAAGAAAACATCAAACAATCAATACAAACTCAGGAAATTAACACATTATACTAAAAACACTTCAGAAAAATAGGTATGATGAAAATAAAGCAATACATACAGACAATGCAACCACAGGACTGAGGATGCAGGCAGGAGCAGACAGATTGTTGTGGCTGAAAAGCAGTTTGATTCTGAACACTTACTTCCTGTACAAGTCACATGACATGGTCACATGACAATGGTGAGAGAAAGCTGCAACCTGACTGATATGAAAGGAAGTTTTGTACAATGATGTCTTATTTCCTTTTTTTAGGGGACACAGAAATCACAAAGTAATGTGAATGTGATGACAGTGGTAGACTATAACTTACTACAATTACATTACAAATAAGTGTGGTACTTAAGTATAATTTTGCTGTTCTTGCACTTTGCTTATTTACATTTTCCATCAATTTATACAGCAAATATTCTGCTTTTGACCTGACAATAATTACACAGGACTCAAAATATTGAAATAACCTGTTTATTAGAGAGCTTTAGATGTGCTCGTAGGTGGGTTTTCTTACCTGAGCCAGAGCCAGTGAGGCTAGAGAGAGGGACATGGATGTATAGGAGGTTATAGTACATGAATACATGTCGTTTTTTTTAACGACAGGGATGTTACCTCTCCATTTGACCAAGGTTTAAGCTCAAAGAGCGTCAAGGACAGACAGTAAACAAGGTTGGATCCTGATTGCTCGGGATAAAAACACAGTACACCTGTACTGCGTTGCATTGTTGGGCATATTGGGAAGCTATGTAAATGCTTATCTGGATCTAAACATATTTATTTATTCAATAAAGAGGTGGAAACCAGTTATGAAAAAAATGATACGTTTTAATTACATTTTAATCACTGCACTGATGTATAAAACATGCAGCCTCCATTCAAGAGTAACCATTTTAAATCAGAACTGGCATGAAATTTGCTCTTTATCCCAACAATGTCTTGATATAACAAGTCAAAGTTAGAATCTAATTTAACAATTCTTCATGGTTTAAATACCCAATACCCCCTTTCTCCTTAAAAGCCAATTAAAATATGCGAAAGTACAATCCTTTAATTTTCTCATAAAAATGTAAATTACTCAAAATTGCTACTTACAATCAGAGGAATTATTTAACAATGGAAAATAAACCTTCATGTCTCCATGAAATTACAAAGCAATGACATCTCTAAAGTAAAGTAACACGTGTAGAAGAACTAAGGAACAACTGTTTTTTTTACTGCTTCATTCTCCTGCTGCTGGGCTTTGCAGATGGGATTCAATACGAGGACATCTCGCTACAAAACAAGGTTTATTGTCTTTAACAGAACGAGTCTGTTGTGTTGTCCTAACCACTGGGTGCACTTTAAACTGGTCTCCTGTGAGACATGAAAACCTCCTATCACCTTCTCACAGCTAGAGACTCTTAACGCTCCTGTGTGAACTCACAGAAGAGCTGAGCTTGAATCTCTTACACAAAGTCCACTTTAAAGAGTATAGGTTGTCTGTGAAAGAAGCTACACTGATCATTCCTTAGTCCGGGGCAGAGATGGAAATTACGAATCACTTCCATGACCTAGTTCTCTGACTTAGTTCACTCAGATTCGTCGTTACCGACTATCTAGTTCGTTCACTTTTATCAAAGCCCAAAAATTGTGTAATCATTCAAACACACTTCAGTACATATAACAAGGAACACATTTCATATCGCTGATGTGTTGTTTTCTGATCTCACGCCTCTGTGAGAGGATGACATCATTTGATGGTAACTATAATAAACATGATTAAAAGTCATCCATCCTCCCACCCCAACCTCCTCCCATACAGACTTTACGACCTGACTTTCACTTGAAGGTAAACATACATATGTTGTTTTGGGGCACTTGCTGCTGAAACAATGTTTATTAATGACATCACATCATTACCAGTGACAATGTGTGGCTGCTGTTGTTTTTACCCTGTTGGTCTCTGTGAGTCATCATGGCACATTGTTGTCCCGGAGACATCTACTAGCCGTGACAGATGCAGTGACAAAACTTGACAGGTGTGTAGTTGAGATCGAAATGAAGGCAGAGGTTGAAGTGTGGGGTCCGAGCAAGGCGCCGGAAGTAAGAGGGGTACGAATTGAGGAAGGGGCCATTGCCCCCGCTTCCATGTTCATGTGTTGTTGTTGTTTTGCAGAAATTCACATGCAGGAGGTAACGTACTCCATGTACTCAGTCACCAGAGAGTGGAGCTCCACTGCGTTGTATAGTCTATTCAGCTGTAGGATTTTGTTCATACATTTATCTCTTGTCCCGCGCCTGTTAGAGAGCCAGTTCCCCCGATTAAAAGGTCCCTTTTTGGGTCAAAAGGACAACATTTTTCTACCAAGAAGGCAGCTTTAAGGAACTGCGGTTTGTTACAAGTAATACGAAATCAACCAAGTGGTGTGCCGGAAACTGAGCTACTATGTACTTTTGGCATAGTTTAGAAGCAAAATTAGCTGAATATTATATTAACTCCAGAACGGAACTGAACCTCTATACTATCTATTTTGTATTATATATATTTTTGTGCTGTATTTCTGTTTCACTGTTGCACAATCAACTGCCCTTAGTTTTAGTTTTAGCAATTGGTTGATTGGTTGACTCCCCTTTAAGTGTTTTTTACATTTTGCCTCCCTTTTGTTCGTCTCCTTCTTAAAGTCATCTATATGACACTTGAAAAGTCCAAATATTGTCTTGTAAGTGACTCTTTAATGTTTCATGACTCAAGACTTTGTGACTGATCTTAGTACGATGATTCACCAGTAGTGTCATATTTTACTTAAAGGCCCAGGAAGACACTTTTCCTGATTAGCTTATTGTAAACTACAGGATCCTACATGGACACAAACGTTTTCAGATAGTTTTTGTGACGGGCGACGCTCGGTTTGGAAAAAGGTGATTATTTTCATCCTATTTCTGTGCAGCAATCAGATCTTTTGCACTGTTAACATCTTAACAAACATACATAAGGTTTGTTTTTTATGTTCTTTTCTGAACTTTAACATTCATTGTTGCACATTTAGTGATACATATTCAAATACTTAAGATGTATTACTGAATTATTCCAGTGGCTTTAAACTGACACAGAGGCATTTGCAGGGCTACAAAGACGTTTCTCAGACAGTCCAGCTCCACTCACAGATTTAATCATTATTTATCTAAACGTCCAGACAAACCTTTTCCACTTGCCATACTTACAGCAACATCAGCAGTACATAACCCTCTTCCACAGAGAGAAGCACAGCTGTTGACATCAGGGATTTGATTCATGCCAGTGCTTGTCAGTCATTTTATTTTGAAAAGCCTCTGCAGTGCCAGTGACACAGTGAAGTAGGATCACATCTGATGAAAGAGTTTGTCCCTCTGCTGACTGAACCTGATCCCCAAAGCTCACCTGACTGCAACGAATTGTTCAATTTCACATTTTGAGGCACTAAGTTATCTATGTGATTCCTAAAAATGGCAGTTAACATTTGAAAATGAAAGAGAAATATTACTCTCCTTTCAGCAATCCTGAAAGTTCAAATACTTTGACAAAAAAATCTTTACACACGGTTCACTTATTTGACACCAGCTTTTACGTTGCATCCCATGGCCTTCATCAGCAGATGGTGTTTGAGAAGTGGAGAGAGAAAAAGCATTTCAAAATAAATAAATACTTAATCAATATAACGAGTAAACATAATTTAACTGATAAACATTATCAATAATGAATATAATACACACGAAGACATATCTTCTATGAGTATGAATGTTATATAATATTCTCTATATGGACTATTGAATATCTGTTCACATACTAGAAATAGTTGCTTTAGAGATTGAACCAGTTTGGGTCAATAAAGCACAGATTCTCTACTTAGCTAATTTTAGTTTACATTACCAAACTGGATATGACCCGGTGTTAGACACAACAAGCTCAAGTTTTACCCTAAAACCAAAATAAATGAATTGTGCAAAATGATATGCACGTGACATTTAAAAATGTATACAGTATGTGTATATTATTTCTTTATTTGCTTCTTCACTTTGAGCAGGGACGGGGGTGGGAGTTATTGCTGTGTATTTGTCTGTGTATGTTTTTTTTTTAAACTTTTGTTTGAAAGAAAAAGTTCACAACCCTACCATGTTTTAGTTTGGGTAAATAACCATAAATATAGAGAATAATACCATTACTATTACCATTGTCCACCCATGGTACTGGCCGTTGTGTTGGCATACTTTTAGTGTGTAAACACAAGTTAAATAGATGCCTCACAGGAGTTATAGTACATGTTGAAAATGTCAACATTTAACAAATCTGCTTACAACTACAAACAAACTGCATTGTAGTTGTATCTGCTTACAACTACAATGCAGTTTGTTTTAAACAATTGATTACGATTTAAATAGGAATGATAATTTATTCTTCAATAATTATATAATATTAATGATTCTTTCTATTTGACAGTAGAAGTGAAATCATTTCAAATCATACATGGACAGGCATTTGTAATGTGTTTATTTGAAGTTAATAAATCTTTTTCATTTTAAGAAAATAAACCCATAAGCCTCGACATACGATATCCTTTCTATTACTAATTAAGCATTATAGCCTCCGACGGTGTTAAAGCAGAGTGACTGCATCTTGGACAATGAAGACAAATCAGAGACGAACAATGCTTTTGTGCGGAGCCAGTCTGCTGCATTCAACATATCCATCCACAGGCATCCTTTTATAATAGGATCATAAAATTTGCAGATGAAGAATTTACAGTTCAAATGGTCACATCTCATCATATTACTGGAGGTCTTTCCTTCGTATCCTCCTCTTTTTGTCATGAATGCCAGCGGTATGTTAATATTGGGGCAGATTGTCCGTTCTTGAGATTTGGTAAAACTGGATACATCTACTATAGGGTTAGTTACTATAGCAGCACTTGTACAACAAGGCTGCATATACAAAATAATATAGTATACAGTTCAGTATGATATAACAGATCTGGTCCATAAACTATAGTTGATAAATAACTGCAGCAGACAAAGTTTTTTTTGTTTTAAAGGTCCAATCACAAATTTTTAACCATATAAATTACAAGTGCATTCATTATATTTTATATAATTCACTTATAGATGACAACTCTGTATTGTCTTTTTCATTTAACGATAATTAAAAAGTATAGATCTGATGTAAACAAACATTAAGAACACCTGCAAACCTAACTTACATTGAATTGTCGTCGAGCGCTACTGCTTGTATTTATTATGTAGGAATTAGTTTTATATTAGTTGTATTTTTCTGAATACAAATGGACCTGTGTGGTAGTCGGTTATATTTGTCACAATAATATTTGTCTGCTCTAATGAACCACTGAGGCTACTTACAAAAGGGGGCGCTGTTGAGGCAGATAACTGACAGCTCGAAGTGTCAATGAATGGCAGCAGTCGTTCTCTTCATTCTGACATTTTCACTGATCTGTCATAAGACAGACAGGAAACCTGCTGACAGGCAGCAATGCTACTCTCTAAGAATTGAGTTACTGAATTGGATGTTTGTATCATCGGTCACATCTATTAGTTACTGAAAAGTTCCACACTTTTCTGGGTTGATTAGTTGGAAGAAGTTGCCTCAAGGTTAGAAAATCAAGTTATTTTGTCCCCCGCAGGTTACTGTTAGTTTACTGCACTTTAAGTCGATGTTACATGCCACTTAATGTAGGCGTTAGGGTGTAGTCAGTGTGCAACCTGCCCTATAAATGCAATTATTTCTCCACTCTGTTGAACAAAAAAAAGAAAGAACAGAAGACTGAGTTCTTTGCCAATCAGTTTGGTCAGAAAACTGGCCTGTCGTTAACTGTCCATTAAGGCTCTGAGTGACTCAGGCAGACAGGAGAGACATTAAACACGCTGCACGTTCTGTGAGTAACAGTGGTTTTCCAGCTAAAAGTGTTTCTCGGCTAATGGGTCTCATCTCAGCCTACGGTGTCACTGCAAAGTCCTCAGAGGTAAAAGTAGAATGCACAAGCAGAGGCACAGGACAAATAGACCGCATCTATTAGAGTGCATTAACAAATTACAGCAGTCCCACAGTTGAGTTTAATGGTAGAACAATTAACATCAACTGTGAAGAAAACATGTGATATTCTCCAAAGAACTTGATGTCACATTTTATTTATTTTAAAGGGTTGTTCGCATTTTTTATCTCTGGAAAGTACATTTTTAGTAAAACTTCTCACCTCAATATTGACAGAAGTTACTGAAAAGGTAGAGTTTGGGGTTTAATTAAATTTAGTTTGAAGATATTAGCATCTGTATGCACCTTTTAAGCGCTCAGGTCTACGGTTGATGGATCTCTTTCACGCTTTATGTCAGTTTTTACTCAGTTGGCGGCCAAATTTCAAGGCTCGCATGGCTATATTTGAAGATTTAACAGTGTATGTACATTTCTAATGATTTCTGTGAAGATTTTTGAAATACAGTCAAGACCAACTCAACTTCTGTCACTATATCGCATTGCTTATGTTAAAGGTTGAACAACAACAACAGCAGCAGTAGTAGCAGAAGGTCAAAAGTTTGGATTTAAAAAAATGTATTTTATTTTCAGACTAGACAAAGTATTATTAAGTATTGTTTTATTTTGGTTGAAATACTCCCTTTTTTTTAGCAATTACCAAAAGCTGGAAACTAAATATTAGCACACTTTTCCTCAAAGTCTTCAAATCACTTATATTTTAGATTTTACCAAACAAAATAGTTGGAAATGAACGGCTGGGTTTTACAATTCACAAGGCACACTAATCCAGGTAACACTGAATCAGTTTCTTTACACATACAACCTGATTGTCTCGTCGCCCATATAAGGCATAATGACTTAATATCAAATGACTTATTCAAGTTTAGAGTTGAGGAAAATGTTATAATCTTTATTCTCACACAGTATTTGGGTCATATCAACAATAGCAGATCTTTTCAAGAGCATGCTTAAAAACACCCCAAATGGAGCAAAAAACGAACACTTTCATTCAACAAAAGCTATTAAATATAATTTACAGCGGAGTGAGATCTTCCACCGAAGACAATGATCAAAACACAAGTTGAACACTTGTCTTCCTTGACATGATATTGACAGTGAATTCAAACTCATGAGCCAGAACTTCTCCATGGTCCCAAATTAACTCATGAAACTTTATATATATATATATGTATATATACAAAAAAATGTGCTACACAGACCAGCAATGTTAGAGACTATTCTCAGGATGTAAGAAACCAACAAAATAAACAAAATAAAACCCTAAAAATGCAGCTCACTGAGTACTTGAACTAACGTGGGACTGACTGTATTGCACTAGTGACTTCTACTGTTTAACATGACTACAAGGTGTGTTACAACATATTCCTCGTGTCCTCCCTTTTGACATGGTCAAGTGTCTTGTCGTGGCACTTGGATTTTTTGTTCTGGTGAGTTTTCACATGTTTCGCCAAGTGGTCACTCCTCATGAACCTCTTGCAGCAGTCCGGGCAAACAAAGCGCTTCTCCCCCGTGTGAGTCCTCAGGTGTCTCTGCAGCTCGTCCGACCTGGTGAAACTCTTGCCACAGAACAGCCAGTTGCACACAAACGGCCGCTCCCCAGAGTGCCACCGCAGGTGCGCTTTGAGGTGAGAAGTTTTCCCGTAAACTTTCCCGCAACCCGGTATGTGACAAATGTGTTGTTTCTTCTTCCCGGGCTCGTCGCTGGACGTGGACGACTGGCAGTTCGGGCACCGGCACCTCCTGCACCGCCGCGCGGTCGCGAGAGGAGACTTTGTGTGCAGCAGAGCCGCGATTTGCGTCTGGTACTGCGCAAAGTCCGTATGTCCCAGAACCAGTCCCCTCTGCAGCTGGAAGCGATGGGGACCAAGGGAGGAAGAGTGAGTGACGTGGTTCCCCTGCTGAAGGCTCCACCATGGAATATCCTCTCCAGGGTTCGGGGACAACTGTCTCTGTTGCTGGTGCACAAGGCCGGAGGGTCCCGTCACAAAACTTGGCATGGCGGGCGGGATGGGAGTCGGGGCCGCGTAGCTGACGGCGGGGACGTAGGTGGGAGGACAGGAGGACTGCAGAGACTGCATGGAGCATGGTAGCATCTTCACGGGGGAGAAGTCATAGGGGTACGAGGGGTCCGCCGGAGGGGTGAGGGGCAGTTCGTGGTGGTGCGAGCTGAAGGAGCTCTGGATGTGCGCAGACAGCTGGGGCTTGGAGGATAGTCCGAAAGTTGAGTTGCTGGCCAGGCTGCTTTGAGGCGTTCCCTCGTTAGTCCACGGGTGAAATAAACGCGATGGGGAGCCCAGAGTTGGGTCGTAAGGGACCTGGAGGAAATCTGCGTGGTTCGATCCGTGGTGATGCCCGATCCGGTTACAAGTGGCAGCCAGGAGAGCCAGCGGAGAGTGCTTACAGTTCTCTGGAGAAGAGTTTGGAGTGCGATCCTGGATAACCGAGACACACATTGTCTATATTACAATCATTATTCAACACACTTTACGAAGGGAAAAAACACATCTGCATTGTCTAAATGAAGTACGTTTTAAATATCATCTGTACGACATCGATCCATGTTGCCTGAATCGCGATGCTGTGACATTAAAGTTGTCTTAATGTTGCAGCAGAAGTCATTCAGACGCAAACAATAAGCTTCAGGAATACAATTATATGACACTAGACGATTAAAAGACTCGTTTACCCGGACGTAAATCATCTCGGACGAGTAAGTTTACGAGTTACTAAAGTCGTCAAAGTAACCAGAAACTTGCGCACAAACCTGGAGAAAAGCCTGGAGTGTTTCATTCCGCAGTACAGCCACTGCTGCCATGGTAAACGTCCTCCTCCGTCTCGATGAAAAGAAATACGAAATAAAAGCACTAATTTAGATAAATATGTGCATTCGCAGTAAAAAAATATCACGTCGAGCAGGTCTCCACTCCTCAGTGCTTCCTCTCTCCGAGATATCCTTGGTCTATCTGAAGAGTGAGGGATCACTTCTTAGAATTTGATAAGGACTTTGGTGGGCCGCCAGCCAGTCAGAAATAAGATTTATTACTTTGAAGTTTGCCGCTGCCCAATCATCAAAGAATAGCGGCTCTTTGAGAGGGGAAAGCAAATCCTTTGAATCCACAAAGCTCCTATGGTGTGTTTGTTGGTCTGGATAAAGGAGCTGATTATTAGGGGGGATGGGAAGGGAGGAGATAAAGGCGGGACAATTAATGAAGTAATCACTATGTGGGAAATGTATATACACAAATAATTGGATTTTCTTGATCAAAGACCCCCATGCCGCCTGGAGACCCCGGTATTGGATGCTGTAGTCATCTGATCCTCTTTTTGTAATTAAGGATTTGTAGCAGAACCCTATGTGACAATGTGACATTGTTATCTCTGGAGATCTCTAAGAGCGTTGCCTGACTGTTTGATGGAGGAAAGAGACCAAATCAAGTGACTCAACACAAAGTTCTCATCTCTCAACAATCTGCGTCTCTTTTACATTTCTAATTTGAATTACATTTTCTTTGTTGTTCCTTTGAACTACAACACAGCATTAAACACTTAATTATACCCTCTCAGAATTATTTAAAAACTTAATTCTCCTTCACTCATTTAATCATTTGTTCTATCAGAACCGTATTCCTAATTTAGCCTTTTTTCCCCCCTCTCTCTTTGTTGAGCATCAAAATGTAAGCTTAGAGCCTTAGGGCAAATTCCCATCAGCTAATTCAAATTATAACATGTTACTTAACATGATACAAAAGGGAAACCTCTGTTTTAAATCAGGTGACAAAAGCAGCACTTGAAATGGTGATGTCTCAATTATGATTCCTTATGAACTTGTCATTTTGTTGGGTCTGGGGAGGAAGTTCAACACAGGATCTCGTGCACTGAAGCATCCAACCTAAACAGAGGTATTTATAATGTAAGGCTTTAACACAAAGGCTGAACTGTAATACAATACAATATGTTGTACTGTTTTTGTTACGGAACATTTAATGTGGGCAAAAGTATGCAGTTTTCTTAAGATAATATTCAAACTTTTGTGGCAGAGCAGTCAAAATGAAAGTTGTAGTTTTCTATATCAACTCTCTGATCTTTATCTGGCTTCCCTGAAGAAACAATCACTGTCCTCTCAACTAGTTTGGAGCGGCAGATTTTTGAATTAGATCTGTTCCTTTGAAGGGATTAATGTTCCCAGTCCTCTCCCACGGCTTTACACACAGTCATGAGGGAAAGGGGGAGTCCTGCTGGGCTGCACTGGAGCCATGTTAAACTACAAAACTGGCTGCAGGAGTGGTGTACTCACACTGTTGACTGATTAAAAATAAGTAGTGGAGATTACCTTGTTTACATCAAGTTATAGTAGGTGATGAAGTTTATTGTGCAGAACATATACAAATATGCAGAAAACAGGAAGGTCACTACTTTGAATCCTGAGCCACGTTGTATTAAATCTCCCTTTTACAATAGCGTGTGAATACTTTTATAAGTTAAACACAAAACCATCTTACAGACGTCACATTCTAAATGTTGAATGGAAGTTTTTTTCATGATCAAGACATATTTGTACCACCTTTCAATAAGGCAGTTTATAACTTATTACTTAACTAATGGTTAATAAATGCTTTATAAATCAGTTCTAAGCAACTAAGATGAACAACTTTCGGGTTGCCAAGTTGTGAAAAATCCCTTATGCTGATGTTTATCCTCCACCAGCACAAAAAAGAGATGGAAAAACCCCATGGGCATGTATTAATGTTATAACAAAATTATTACCAAACAAAGGATAAGCAACAGCCAGTGTCAAAACAGGTTAAAATAGAATTATAAATTGACCGAATGGTTTTTCAGATCATCAAGAACAAGTTTTAGGTTGCCACGTTGTGAAAATTCTTTCGACTGGTGTTTATCCGATAAGTTAGTAATACATAGTCCTGGGATTTTGACACAGTGGTGCTCAAAACAGGTGAAAAGAGGATTATAAAATGACTGAATGCTGTATACTCAGTTAACCAGCTGTTACCAATTAAATTACTGGTGTCACTGCAGTAAATATTTTTATGGTCTACTTTAAAAGTTTGTATTTTTGCAGAAAAGTGCTGTCAGTTAGTTTTTACTTCTAGGTTTAAATGTCAGATAAATGTCAAACGTTGTAATCTGCTCTCTAATGTCAAACCAGACAGTTAAAGTAAAGAGGAAATCCACCCTAAAACAGAAGTAAGATTTACTATGATCCTGAACAGCTGCACTGATCTGAGGATATTCAAATAGCAGATATTAATTCTGATTCAGGGTGGATTTTCACTTAAATCAGCTCTACATGTGAGCTGTCATGCTCTGCAAAGGCACATTTCAAACATATGTGACAACTGCATGAATTTTGTAAACCATCAGAATTACCAAATTATTGATATCTTCCTTTGAGATACTCGGTTCAGCCCTAAATGCAAGTTCTTACATTTTAATGCATCTCAATGGGACTTCAGCGGAGGGATGGATTTGGCCGAGCAGGACTTTGATATAGTTTGTAAGAAATTCATGACTGTGTGCTTGACACAATGTCCAGTCCCCGAGGTAATTTGCTTGCTCCAAACCGTTACCGTCTTAGGGCCATGCCTCACATTTTACAGGGTCACCTCAGCAGTGGTTTGGCTAAAAGAAATTTTTCCTGCGGTATTTGATGGGAAAATTAACTTGGAGGAACCCCCACTGAAATACTTTTTGCCTCAAAGGTTTGAACATGGAATCAGTCTGTACCATCCGTCTATTTCATACAGTACTCTAAAGCATAAAGCAGAGAGTCGATCAACAGAAATACTGTTTCGAGGTGGAGATGTGTATGAAGCTGCATTTAGGGATTAGCAGAATATTTAAAAATAAGATAGTAGCCTAGTGGTTACAGGAAACAAAGCTCACACAGTTGTTGCAGCTATAGAACAGCAAAGTGAAGCAGGTATTTTTCTACATACATGAAAGAAAAAGTCATATGTCAGTTTCTGGTGTTCGTATTCCTATTTGGATCAGAAATATGAATTTCCTGCAAAACAACATGAAACATTTACTAAAAAGTCAACAGGTGAAGAAGAAAAACACACAATGCTCAAAAGTCAGCGGTTTAAACACATTTATTTGACTCATATAAAATGTCAGTTTACTAGAAAAAAAATATACATTTACAGTAGATATCAAACGTGTTGCTGAGTTTTGTTTAGATCCAGTTCAAAGTTGATGAAGGCAATCTGCAGAAGAGAGAGAAAAACTGCATTGACAATCCTGAACATGCAGCACACTCTGAATACTTTTTCGCTATTCTCTAGTTTTCAATTAAAATCATTTTATTTCAGTGATATACTACTTGATATAATTGTTTTGACCCCCAAACGCATCTGAGAAAATGGAGCTGCTTGTGATCTTGACATTTTGACCGAACTGACAGTGAGAACGGTGGATTTGACAGAGTCAGGGGGCAATGTCACAATTCCAACCCTTTTTTTAACTTTCCATATTCTCTGGACAGCTGGAGAGAAAACAGGTTCCACATCTGTCTCATACGAGAGATATCAGAGAGGATGGGGATGGGGGTGGCGGTGGTTGGTGTGTGGGGGGGGTGGGGGGCGGTGGGGGGTGTTTGAGGTTGCATGTGAGAGAGTGAGAGTGAGTTTGAATTTGAGTGTGTGGGAGAGAGAGGGAGAAATGCTCGAGGCTACTGGGTACTTGAGCCGCTATAATGGTGTCTCGTATGAGAAAACATCTGTGAATTTCCTCAGTGATCTACAACAATGTATAACTCAGAGCAGTCACTCAGCAGACCTTTGAAGTTGCTGTCAGACAGAAAGCTGCCATTGTTCGCAGCCCCCAACACACAGAAACTCCAACTTTGGTCTCACTAATTTTCCCTGCAATGCGATACAACTCTCCCCCCCCCC